GACTTCTCTACTGGCTTTACTCCTGCTGTCACAGTAGGGTTTGACTGCTGCAGCATGGGAATAAACAGTGTTCGAGAAAGAAAAGACTCAGGAAAGACCTGATGTCTCATGCAAACTTCTAGAGCCACAGAGGTGGAGGAGAGGGACAAGGATAGGAAAGGACCATCTGCATTTGGTCCACAAGATTCCTCTCCTTCACATCTGCTGAGTGCTCAGCACTAGATTTCACCCCTATAGTATATGAGTTTTATATCAGCTAAAAGGTCCATACATGCAGGCACCAGCTGAATGAAGAGAAGAACACAGCCTCCCAAGAACAACGCAGCTGATATTGAATACCGTCGGGGGAGATTTCGGAGAAGAAGCCAGGAAATAACATAGGCTGGAACTTCGGTAACCGCCGAAAGGAAACAGTTTAAATAGGCATCTCCATGCAAGTTAGGAGTGTCAAGCGAGAGACCAAAATAGCCGACAGAGATTATCATCCTGAAAGACATGGAATAAAGGAAAGAATCAGACTACTTGCTCCTCTTCCTCTGTCTCCTATGACCAATCTGCCAAGAGCCACTCACTTTATTACAGTGCATTCATTTAGTGCCTAATTAATTAACATTGATTTAATGCCTACCAGGTTCTCTCACTTCTGAAACTAGCCTCAAAAGTGTATCCTGCAGGGAACAGTCAGACAAGGCTTCTCAAGACTTAAATTCTTTGTCCAGTTTTTCCTTGAATTGAAAACAATTTCTGAAAACCCTCAAGGCTAATGTGACTGGAGGATTCCAGAGGAATTTTCCTGGTGCCCAAGTACATAAAATCACAACCTACTGGAAATCACTATTGCTGAATGTTCTTACGGGAACAGTGGCTGCGTACAGCTTCCGCCGTCTTAGACCAAGTATGTATCTAGTTTTCTCCAATTATACTGCTGTAGCAAAACCAGTTCATGCACGTGTCATTCCTCAATGAGGCAGCATGGGCCCTTGCTCACTGAGCTGATTCCTGCCAGCACATATGGCTTTTAACACAGAGCTGAACAATCTGGATGGCAGAGAGAAGGGCATCAGTCATGTTCAAGATGCATGACTGTTCACTGTAATGCTAAAACCACGGAAAAATAATTACAGGCTTAGTATAAAAGCTCAGAGTTGGAGAAATGAACTTGGCCAGCTTCCAAAGTTAAGACCCAGCCTTGATGAGATTTTTATTAACTATGGATAGTGAAGGGGAAAGGGAACGCTGGGCAGAGGGAGCTGTGCTCAGAGAAAGAAAACTCTGACTGCTCTTTCCGCTGACCTGCGTGCTTGCAGTGGTTTTGCAAAGCAAGGGAGCTAGAACCTGGGGAGGGAAGGTTATGTTTCACCAGCAAAAGGACAAACACTAGACTAGAGAAATGGGGAGTTAATGACTACTGGCCCTCTCTGAATGAATACATATGCGCTCTCCTTTACCATTAATTGTAGCACTGCCCAGAGCCATCAACCAAATCAAGATCTACAGTGCTTGGCACTTTGCTTGGCCCAAAGTAAATAATCACCCTACTATAAAATGCTTGAACTCTGAAAAACAGCCTTTTCCCTTCTAGCTTCAGGCACAGTTAAAAGGCTTCATGATTCAATTGCTTAAAACAAAATAAGGAGCTTTTGGTATACCTGCAGAGACATAAACAGGCCCTTTGTAAAGCAACATGACTAAGAGGAAAAGCTAAGAGGTCACTATGACCTAGCAGGTTTCCTCCCATAACCTGAAAGCCAAAGCTTTGCCTGGCCAAAGAATTATTGTTCAAAGAGTTTAATGAGATAGACAAACAGTTCTCCCAACAAACTGTCCTTTTGAAATCGGTTGCTGACTGAATTTCCTTCTCTGCCATACGCAGATCTGCACGTTCACAAATTAAACCCAAGAGAGTACCCAATTCAGGGCTCCTTGCACCAATGCAGTTTACATTAGGCGGTCACAGTCAAGAGAACAAGTTCTCATAGAGGGATTCACACATTACTTAATGATGTGGTTTTCCACTCCTGACCAATGAAAGAGACTGGAAAAGGGATTAGGTAAGGGATCTGTTGTAGGCTTATTGCCTCTGAACCAAATCTCAAATGGTCTGAGATGGGTGATGTTGGGGGGGTGTCACCCCAAAGTATAAAATATTAGATCCACAGTTCGTAGTGCAGAGCCATCTTTACATTATTCACAGAGGAGAAAACAGTGGTCAGCTTTTCCAAAGTAAAAAAGACACTATGATGGCTGCTGGCTGTGAACTCAGAGGACAGGAGGGTCAGACAACTCTTCCAAAACCAGCAGAATTCCCATCCTCAGTGCACACTGCATGTGCTGGACACAGACATTTTAACACTAGGTTTTTCCAATAGAATATTCTCTGCCTGAAGTAAGCATATCTGGAATATGGCAAGAAGACATCAGGCTTGGATCAGTTTTCTTAAACAAGTGAAAAGCAAGCTGGGCAAAATAAGTTAATGGGGTCAATACTTTGCTCATATTCAGAATCTAATTAAAAATGTGATAAAGTCACTTATGTAAATACTATTTACAGACTATGATAACTGTGGTTCTTTGAGAGGCTCTTCTTTCAGGCCTGCATGTGAGGGAAGGGGGGGGGGGGGGGGGGAATTAGTGCCGTAAAGGGG